ATCTGCACTTATCTAGTCGGTTATCAGTCTATGCATAGAATTGCAAGCAGGATATTTAGCCCTACATGGCCCCAACTATGACGCACTTGCTACGTCCGGCCCAAGCGCTGGAAGGTCGAGCCACCGTATAGCTGGACTTCAAGCCTTAATGAAGGAGCCTTGATGATTCGAACAGGGTTCCAGGGTATGTGAAAAGTATAGTCATCATACTTTCGAGACTAGAAGCACCAGTTTCTTGCAAGGGCCTCAAGCCACATGTTGAGATTAATGTAGGGGCCTTTCTTATTGGAACAGCGTTTGGGGTTCCTGTATAGTGTAGTTATGATAAGGAACCCTGAGGAATAATTTCGGTATTCTTTTAGTCAGCTTCTATATTACGGAGTTTCGGGCTGAGGCGGGGCTGAGGCCAGTCAGGGTTTAGGGTCTAGGGGTAGATTGGGGTTGTGGACAAGAGCACGAAAACTCCTGTGAGGAATAGGATGACCATTAATCAAGACAACTAAACTCGTGTCATAAAGGCAAATGTAGACACATGAAGGAAATCAACAACAAAATCGGCAAGTGCAGACAAATTGAGACCAAGAAAGACAAATGAGGACATATCAACATGTGATTAACCAAGACGTGCTGTCGTTTGATGCCCAAGGGCCCAAAACCTTCCCAGACCCCCAAAAGGATCCTAAAAATAGATCCCCTAATTAGGGACCCTAACTACTAACTGAAGGGTACTTTATAGGACCCCCCTTACTTAGGGGATCGATTTTTTTAGATCCTTTTGGGGGGCTGGGTTTGAGGTCTACGCCAAGTCGTTCGAGAACCTCGCAACACATCAAGCATAGGAGAGGAGACTATTGCTAGTAGTCTAAGGTAGAACCCATGGGCCCCTAGTATGGGCCCTTAACCCTGGGACCCTAATATACCTACTATATACCCTATATATACCCTTATAAGGGACCCTAGAATCCCCTAAGGGCCCATGTTAGGGGCCCATGGGTTCAACCTTAGAAGTAGGGGCCTTCACCGGTCCTGGGCTTAGGACTTTAAGGGGTTTGGGGGTTTGGGGGTTTAGGGTTTAGGGCTACTTCTTCCGACCTTAAAACCGGTGTGTGGTGTTCTTGGTGTAGAGTAGGAAGGTCTTCCTAAACCCTAAACCCGGAACCTTCAACCCTACACCCTAAACCCCTAAACCCTAAAACCCCAAACCGTGAAAAGTTCGATAAGAGCTTTAACGGGGCCTTCGACTCAAACTGCTTCGACACTACAATTTGAGCCTCAAGCCGCTAAATGTTTAGGGTATTTAGGGTATAGGGTTTAGGGGTTAGGTAAACATTGACCAGTATCCATAGAGCACAAGGATCCGGGGAATTGATAAGTATGGAGTCAACTGAGTCATAAGTATTCTCTGAGGGTTCTATAAGGGTTCTATACGGGTTTAGGGTTGAGGGATCAGGGGACTTAGTAAGTAGGGTTACAAGTAAGGTATATAGACTTATATCTACGTCTTATCGTCGTTATAAGGTACTTACAACCCTCTTTACTAAGTGCCCTGAACGTTTAAGTAGAGCATGCGCCGTAATCACAAAACCACAGCAACAACAACAACAACAAGAGCTCACAGCCAAAACCTGACCACCGCCTGAGTCTAAAGCCTACGCACACAGAAATCCGGCAGATGTCAATCGTTCGAAGTTGTAAAGGTGTACGTGTATATAGATAGATAGACAGACAGACAGACAGACAGACAGACAGACAGACAGAGAGAGAGAGAGAGATAGATAGAAAAATAGATAGATAGGTAGATAGGTAGATAGATAGATGGATAGATAGAGAGAGATAGAGATAGATAGAGATAGATAGAAATAGACAGATATAGATATAGATAGATACAGATAGATAGATAAAGATAGATATAGATAGACAGAGACAAGTAGATAGATATAGATAGATAGATAGATAGATAGATAGATAGGTGGGTAGATAGATAGACAGACAGATACATAGAGAGATAGATGGATGGATAGATAGATGGATAGATAAATAGATAGATAGACAGACAGATAGATAGATAGGCAGATAGACAGACAGATATCTAGATACTTTATGAACTTGCGTGTGTATATAGTTATTTATTTATCTATGTATGTGTCTAGCTGTGTATATATATATATATATACACACACATATGTGTTTATGCTGTATATATACTGCGCTAATCTAACCTGATCCAGCCTAATACAAACTAGTATAAACTATAACCGAAACGAATCGAAACTAATCTAACAACATTTGTTAAATATACTAAAACTGGTATATTGTATTCTATTATAACGTGTTGTTTTGTACTATAGAATAGTTAAGCAAAATGTATTATATTATAGTATGTGATGTTAACTTACATTCTGATATACTGCGTTACATTACATTACGGTAGGCTATACCATACTGTACAAAAACTGTGTTGATATATATATATATATATATGAATGATTATATATATATACACATAATGTTGTATCATGTTACATTATGTCATAGTATAGTAGATTCCGGTAATATATTAAAAATTACTGTGCTAGACTGTAGCAACATGATACATGCTACGCCTGAAACCTTTGACCTTAAATTCTTGCCCTGGCAACACCCTAAACCCTGAACAACTACAAACCCTCAACAAGCCTCGCAACAAAATCTGCACAGCACTTGCAAGAAGTCTGTGATTACGAAGCTCTTCACCCCTGTAGTCTCAAGCCCCTACTCCCCGCCCCCACCCCGACACCAACCCCATAAAACCTGTACAGCACCTATATACGTGAAACCAGCTCTAGACCCTAAACCCTGAACGCTAAAAATTGCACCCTGGGTTGTAGTTTGGGGGCCCCCAAGACTTATAACCCTGCTTACCAAGTCCCCTGATCCTTTAAGTAAACCCTGAGCCCTAAACCCTAAGGTTTAGGGTTTAGGGGTTTTGGGCTTTGAGGTTTTAGGGTTTAGGGTTCGGGGTTCGGGGTGTTTAGGGCTTAGGATTTAGGGTTTAGGGTTTTCAGGGCTTATATATATATCTAAACAATAAACCTTGCTGCTATATTACCCTAAACCCTAAACCCTAAACCCTAAACCCTAAAACCCTAAACCCTAGACTCTAAACCCTAGACCCTAAAATATTAAACCCGACCCGGCCTTGAGCTCGGCGAAAGGCTCGCCACCCCGCGCCGCTGCCGAGGCGTTGAACAAAGAGATCCTCTACTTTGAAGTAACCAGGGAGAAAAAGTATAGACTTTAATTTCATAATGGTTCCCTTTAAGGACCAGGCCCCCCAAAAAAAGTCTTCAAGTATGGTACCCCTAAACCCTTAAACCCTAAACCCTAAACCCTAAACCCTATACCCTAAACCCTAAACCCTAAACCCTAAACCCTAAACCCTATACCCTAAACCCTAAACCCTAAACATGGTACTCCAGAACCCAGGCTCTGGTCCCATTTCTGCAGAGTCCCCACCCTCCGAACGCCGGAGTGAACCTGGGTCTAGGGCTTAGGGTTTAGGGTTTAGGGTTTAGGGTTTAGAGTTTAGGGGGTTTAGGGGGTTTAGGGGGTTTAGGGGATTTAGGGAGTGTAGGGGGTTTAGGTGGTTTAGGGGTGTAGGGTTTGGGGATTTAGGCGGTTTAGGGGTTTAGGGTTTAGGGTACAGGGGGTTTAGGGGGTTCAGGGGGTTAGGGGGGTTAGGGGGTTTAGGGGTTTAGGGTTTAGGGGGTTTAGGTTTAGGGTTTGTAAGCTCTGGGGCGGTGGGCGGAAAAGGCTTTGAGGCGTTAAGACAGACGCTGCCTTGGGTTCATGGTTTAGGAGTTTAGGGTTTTAGAGTTTAGGGACAGTAAGGCCTAGTTGGCCATGCTACAAATCCTCTTGCAACGAAGCCCCTGAACAGCACACTGCAAAACTGGGGGGTGGTGGTGGCAGAAGTGGCGGTGTTGAGGCTACACATCCTATACGACAATGTAGGGCTTTAATAATCTATTAGAACAGGCTTGTGGGGCATACCATACTATAATTAGTATAATGTATACCAGGCCCAATTAAAAAAAAACAACACATATTCAGACATCGATATCAAAAGGTCGGAAACAGTCTACCGTGCCCGATCGAATCTGAGATTTGCAACGAAACCTGCGCAAAACCTCAAACCTACAAGGGTACTGTAGGGGCCTTAGTAAGTAGAATAGTGTTTTGGGGGGTATATTATACTATAGTCAAAGTAAGGAACCCCCACAATAATATAGGGGAATCGAATTTAGAGAACTCCCCATTTTATGATTCTTCAGCCCAGGGAGTAAACTTGTTTGCCATAGGTTGCATCCTGAAACACTAAGGAACCAAGCTATAACCGCTGAGGACAAAAAACCCTAAACCCTAAACCCTAAACCCTAAACAAAAAAGTAGGCCGAGGAACCACGGCGACCCCACCTCCACAGCAAGGAACGGCTCGACTTTCTGGTCGGAACCCGACAAACGGGATGTAGTCCTCGAGCTCTTTCTCAGGGTTTAGGGTTTAGGGTTTAGGGTTTAGGGTTTAGCGGTTTAGGGGTTTAGGGTTTAGGGTTTAGGGTTCAGGACTCCGGGATTTTGCATTTTTGGGGTTTAGGGTTTAGGGTAACCCCGGATAAGCTAATGTAGGGGCCTTAATAATTAGAATGGGGTTTGCGGGTTCCTTATCAGAGTTCTAGTATAGTGTACCCCAAACCCAAACCCTATTCTAATTACTAAGGCCCCTATATTACCTTCTCAGGG